GAAAGGCTATTAATATAATCAGCTGTCCTTTTGGAATGACTGTCTTCTGCCAAGGGTGTGTGTCTTTCATTTTAAACAGATTGTCTTCAGAGAAAAGCCACATGGAAGTCAGGACCACACAGGCGAGCTCACAAGACTTCTTGAGAAAACAGAATTTGTTTCTCATCACGTTGCCCTTTTACTTTAAAGCTGAAGGATTTTCTAAAAATGTGCTTAGTACAAATGATTCATTTTAAAATATATGAGCTCCTTGTACACTCACCTCCAGAGATGAAAGTGTCAAATATTATCTGGGCTCCATTAAAGAAGTCTCCAAATTGAGCTTCCCAAATTGGCAGTAACTTAGGGCTCTCAATACTCATTCCATATTCAAAACCAAGCACAGCTTCTTCAGACAAGGGACTGTTACTCACCTAACAAAAGGAAATTGTCGGGAGGGGTGGGTGAGGAAGAGACAACCCAGGGTTAAGAACCTTTGGAACCAGGCACACCAGTGCTAGGCACGCTGAGGTCATGCACTCCTAAAGGCAGTTGACGGTCACCTTTTTTTTTTTTTTGCTTTTGAATGAAGACACTGAGGGGAAGAGAGTAATAGCTGACCTCTGAAGGAAAAGCAAAACCCCTTGCTAAATTTGCAAAGAGAGTAACTACAAAGAACGAGGTTGCCCTGACAGTTTTCATGTCTCTGTATCTGGGGTATGCCAGAATATACAGGCTACCTACATCTGTCTCTGCAGCTTTAAAATACGCATTCTGTTCCAGCACAACTTGAAGAAGGTTGTCTTGTGGACCACAGAACCTACCTCTAGGAAACCTTTCTGGTCTGGGGACATATGATTCAGAGGAATATAAGTATCATCCGTCTCTTGACAAACCAACATTGCGTGTCGTTGGCTAAACGTTCCTCTGCCAACATCTTGTCCACTTAGTCTGATATTAAACCCTTGCCAAGTAATAAACAAAACACTGGATTAGCAAGTCATGTAAAAAGAAAACATGCAGGACAACAAGTCCCCAATTCTAAAATATTACTTCTGTTATTATGTCTCTTCTTGGATTTCCCCTCATCAGCAACATCAAATCCGAGATGGAATTCTTAACCAGGAGCAGCTCCAACTCACAAGCACAGAGATGCTCAGACATTTCTCTTCTCTCCTCTCTGCAGCAAAGAATGATTTTGTGGTAAATTGTTCGATTTACTGAAGCAAACTGCAAAAAATGTGCATTCTGTATCATATGTAAATGGAGATACGAATTCAGGCTAGAGAGGAGGGAAAAGAAAGAGTAGCATGAAACACGCTTTAAAGTAGTTGGGAGGCCCCACTGATGTCAGCTGCATTGTTCATGTGCTTAGCTCTACGCACCAATGTTTTGGGGGAGTGGGCGGGAGCAACAATTCTTTGAAGATGTTTAGTACTCAATCTACAAATAGTAGTGACATACAGAATTCTTATTTACCTTCTCTTAGTACCATGGAAATGCAAATTGTCAAATTTATCCATCGTATCAATCTTTAGACTTGGAAACACCTAAGAAGTCTAATGTTATACTTCACTGACATCAAAGCAAAAGTATTTCATTGTCTGCTGTCTAGTTGCCTCTTACCTTGGCTCAGCAGGGAACCGAACGCTAAAGTTTCAGCTGTTGCCCAGTCCAGCTTTTTTCCTTCCTCCATTTTTTGAACTCTTGACTAAACAAGTAAACAACAAGGAAAAGTTACTATTTTGCCTTTTTTCATCTGTAGCTCTTTTGGTGGCACAGATCAACATCAGAAGCTAGGAAAAAAAAATAAAACACTATAGAGAGAAATGCTATATTCCTGCAACCAGCTTAGGTTGGTTTGGAATACACAGAGTCTTGTTTCAGCACATCCTGAAGAAGGTTGCCCTGAGGATCACAGAACCATGAATGATCCACATGTTTACTTACCAGCCAACAAACTGTGGACTGACAAACTAGATCTTAGTCTGAAAACATTAAAAATCTTAGCACAGCACAGAGTGTACTCTTGACAGACTTTTGGTTTGTCTGGTCAGCAGTGATGAAAGATACCAGGTGTAAATATTTCAGTCTCCAGAATTCTCCTCTGTTCTGGCCTGCAGAACTGCAGACAAATGATCTGTGGTGTTCTTGCCTTGGGCTGGGAAGACAAGAACATCAGTCTTCTGAAATGTTCAACTCATGGCCTCTCTACGGCTGCCAACTAGACACCTGTGTGTGGTCATCATTCATCAGAGGGAAACGTTCACAAACCCAAACAAAGCCAATTATTGCACACAAACTTATGAGCTATCAAAAACTGGCTGTCAAACTTGGCCACACGTGTATGCTTATGTTTATATACATAAAACATAAACACTCACTACTTGCTTTAGAAACTGTGTACACTATTAGCAAGTTCCTCATTCATCCTCTCACAAAGTACTCTTTATAATCATAAAGTACATAAATGATAGTAATTTATCATAACAGTTTCTACTATTTCTAAGAATAATAAATCCTATTTTCTACAAGCTTTTTTTCTTCACTGTGACAAAACATTGTTGAAATAACAAAATTAAGTATATGGTCAGATTTGGGGGAAAGGACATGTCTTTCTTCAAAGCTGGAGGAAAAAACAGCATCATCTCAGCCTCGAAAAAAAAAGCGAGCTGTTTTTCCTAGAGAACACTATGCTATTCTCTAACTGGCAGCCTTGCTGTGTTTAGTTCTTCCCGTAACTAGTCGTATCTTTGAGTAATGGGACTAGAAACATCATTATGCTCTACTGACCTGTGTGTAGGTCTTCAGAAGATGGCTGTGTATCTGGAGTTCTTCAGGCACCTCTACAGACTTGACTCCAATAAACTGCAGAAGTGGTACAGGCATACCTGTGTCCCAAGTGGTGATTTTAGCAGAAGGCTCGACTAAGCCTTTCCAGTGAGCCTGCAGGTTGGTAGGAGGTGGACTATACAAAGTCATGTTGGCAAGATGATCATTCAGTTTAGAATAGTATGTCGTCTTTATCTCAGATACTTCAACTTCAGTCATGAGCCCAGCAGCTATTAGGTGTTCTGCATATGTGTCTGGGATACTCTTACGGGATCTGTCAGGGAGGGAATCAAACCCCATAGACATTAAGCCTGAAAACAGTGTCACTCCAGAACAAGGAAATACTACCTTACTACTGTCAGGTATCATGGAAAACTAAAATAAAATTATGTCCTGGTGCATTACACTCATTTGCATCAAGTTTGCTCTCCTGGCATTTCCAGAAAGGTAACAGTTCTCTTCAGTAAGTGCTTTAAAAAAAAAAAAAAAAAAAAAAAGTGCCTATAGTTGGCAGTTACAGGTAAAAGTAAAAAAAGCCTCCCAATTAGACTGACTCTGTGCTATCGTGCATATTTTCTTCAGACAAACTGACAGTAGGATTTCAGTATCAGCTCAGAATCAAGCCATCCAATCCATAAATACTTCACCTAAAATACCAGAATTCACTGTCCAGTAAATTTTTATGCATATTTTATTTTGGTGATAAGGCTGGAATCTGAATACATTTAAATGCTCGTCAGTCCTCACTGGAACCAGCACGATCAGGCAAAGAGAGACAAATGTCATACTGGCTTCCCGCCCATTCTCCCACATTATCTATACTTCCCTCTGGCACGCAGAAGACAACTTTGCCTTCTGATTACTAGCGATCATGAATTTGAAATCCAAGGGCTATGTGCAAGATTGTTCTCCAAGAGGCATCAAGCTGCATATTCAAGAACCAACACCAGTGGTTACCTTCCTTAAGATCTTGTTATCAGACTCACACCGTAGTCAAGGACTGCTGACAGCGGAGCAACACTTACCTAAAGACTTGTCGGTACGGCAAAGGATCTTCATTATACAGAGACTTCTACTACAGTAGCAGGCAACACTGAGTTGGTGGGGACACAGGTACATTTTGGGTTGTCCCCTCAGGTGGTGTTACCCTTACCTGATGATTTTGTACATGCTGGGGTTGGTGAAGAACGGCTCATCAAGTTCATTGTGGCCCCACTGCCTGTAGCACAGCAAGTCCACTATCACGTCCCTGCGGAACTGGCGTTGGTACTCGACAGCCAGTCGTGTAGCACGGACAACTTCTTCAGGATCATCCCCATTCACATGGATAATTGCGCATCCAACAATTTTACCTGCCCAGGGATTCAAAACGTAACAACAGTAATCATACACAACCCCTTCCAAACAAAGCGGACACACAGCTACCCTGGCAAAAACTACAGACAACTCATGTGAAGTGTATTTAACAAAACCAAATCTACAAAAGATGCTCTTTGTGATGACAGCTGGGGTAAGGAGTAGAAATCTTCCCCAAGAGAATGTACAACTGGCCCAACCTGTTGTATTTGTCACAGTTTGAGCATAACTTCTTTCCTAGCACTAAATTCCCAGAGGACTTTCTATACACAGTTCCTGCATCTTATTATTCTGGATGGAAGTCTGTGGGGAATGGGAGAGAACTATTTGATAACTTCTCTTTCAAACAAAAACTGAGTTTTGTTTCCTTCTTATCCTAAGCTATCTCTACCATGAATTCATACAGGCCAGAAACAATCCTCTCCCTTCTTAGTAGTCATTCTATCCACTGCTCCTCCAGGCAGAAAGGTCTTTTCATTAAAGAGAAGACTGCAAAATTCAAATGTCTTAATATCCTCTCCTGTATGACAACTTGGCTGGAAGTCTTCCCAGCAACAGAGTGCTCCTCTTCTATATGCTTAAATTTGGGAAATTAAGATACTTCAGTCATTCCTGACGCACATCAAGTTTCCCTCCCTAGCAAAATCCTGAAGCTCAAATGGGTAACACCCCTCCTCCTCACTGACTAGGTGAAAAGAAAGGAAAACTAAGGATGAAGGGGGAAAAAAAAAACAAAACCAAACAAAATCCTCAACACAAAACCATCCTAGGGAAAAAGTAATAATAACATATGCTATCTACCTTATCAGATTTAATAAATCTACCTGTTCCGTTTGATGAAACGGTAAGACAAACACAAACACGATGTTATGTCTTAAAAACATAAATTAGTGTATTTTTAATTACAGGAGACATACACAAGGGAACTCACTACTATGTCTCTAATCTTGCTCATTATAATACATCTGTTTATCACTAAGACAGACCAGTTCAAAACAAAAGACTTCTGGTTTAAGCTTAGAAATGGCATGAGCTTCATCTTTCACTTAAAAGCTCAACAAGCTTACCTGACAACAAACAAAACAGAAAAATGAAGGAGTATCTGACTTAGAAATCTTGCTCAGAAAACATACTGGAATGATTTTGATTAAATTTAGAAAGATATATTTAAAATACATCTATTATACACTCCATCACAATACGTTTTTAAAAGCTGTCAATGACATGGCAGAAATTAAATGAGTTATAAAGGCTGCACAGTAATCGTGCAAATACTTTCTAACATCCTGTAAAAATGTGACAAGACTTTCCCTTGATATTTAGTCTTTGCTACAAATCAGACAGGGGAAGGCATATTTTTAGCATCTGAATTTTTGCTAGTAGGAGGTAATCATCAATAATAATTTTAATTTCTACTCTATCATGAAAATGGAGATATATTAATCTAAATCCCTAGAACTGACAGGCACTTGCTATAAAAAGCCCACAGCATAGCATATATTCACACTGGAGTTACAAATCCTTTCTGACACAACAGGCAATCTTCCTTCCGATTCAACAATACATACCAATATCACTACAGTACAGAGATGATCTTCCTCGGTCTGGAGGAGTGGTATAGCCCAGCTGGTTATTAACAATCAAATGGATGCTCCCACCAACTCTGAAATGTGGTAGATTAGAAAGGGTCAGTGTTTCAGGAACAATCCCTTGCCCAGAGAAAGCAGCATCGCCATGAACCTACAATAGGGAAGAAGAGGGAAAAGTCTCATTAGAAAACACTGGAGGAACAGTAAAATCAAATTCATAACTCATTAAGCAAGACCTGTTAAATTGAGTAGGTAGAACAGATACTGTTTCAGCTGGATCCACTTCTTAACCCCTTTCAGACTTCTGTTTTCATTATTTGAGGGTTTATACAGTCTTATTGCTAACACAAAGTCATAACAGCCAATATCTGTACATGACTGGCTGATGTAATCCCTACCTGGAACTGACTTAAAATCTCTTAAAGCTGACCCACTAGTGTATAGGTGACCACAAGTATAATGGCTATAGCAAAGCTGCAGCAGTTTGTAGCAAGACACTGACCACTGAACAAAAGGAAGGCAGTCACCATAGCTTTGCTACACGCTTTGCTGAAAGTCAAATGCTGGTCAACTGGGACTTCTGCCTACTCCCCACCTTACCAAATAGAGACAAGAACAGACACAACAGGGAAAAAAAAAAAAAAAAGGAAAAGTAATTGAATGGAAGCACTTAAAAGTAAATAAAAGCTCTCAGAAGGAAACAAAACCTAAGTTCTCAGTTATATTTCAAAATTGCAAATAAATGTAGCAAATTAAAAAAAAGTTTGGAAGGGGAGGGGAGCTTTCCTAAAAGGCTAGAGATATGAGTTTTGAAATGAGAATGAGTTTTGAAACTAGAGATAGTTCTCCACTGATGAATATAATTATAGCTTCCTCAGAATGCAGATTCCATCCTTTGCAGATCAAAGTCACTACACAGATTGACGTAGTTTCTTATTGAAACCAGATGACAGCTCTACTTCCTAGTTATGGGATAATGGTTTCAAGCTTTAAGAGACTTTTGCAGGTGCAAATACACCCAGAAGAGAGTAGAGGTGCAATCAACCAGTGAAATGGCAGCACTGGGTTTTATACAGTTCTAAAACAAGAGGCTTTTTCTAAAAGGCATCACAGAAAAACAAATTTAACTTCAGCAAGAGAGACCACACAGCATTCCCAGTCTATCCCTTACCATGCTACACTTGCTCCTGAAGTGTTGGGTTTTGACTTTTCCCTTCTGGTTTATTCTGCTGCCTAAGGTGGCTATGTACCTCAGTGATACCATCTGAGTGAAGACCCTAGAACATCTGAAAGAACTATATGGCCTTCAGTACATCCCAAAGCATTAAAGCCTACAGACAGCGTGACTATCCAGCTATACAAGACTCTTCATACACATCTCAAACCCCAGAGGATCCAATTCCTGTGGTGCAGGTTGGATTTCACTCATTCTAGCAGAAAGCTAGAAACGGTTTTTGCTAGCACTATTTTTTCTGGGCAGCATTAGCAAAGAACATAAAAGCAAGGTCACCATCAAGTTTAATTCCTCAAACAGTGACCATGACAGTGGAACATCAAATGTGAGATTTATTTCAGGGAGATCTTATTCTCAGATTTCAGTTCACATCATAGACATCCGTAGTTGCCTTATGTTCAGGAAGTGGAGTTAAGGTGTGTGAGACGGTGAAAAATGAGCCACTTTTCAGCAGAGATGGACAATTAAACATTGCAGAACCGTCCACAGTAGTTAATCAAGAAGAGTTTTACAGTCTTCACATATTCCGAGCACACTGAAGTTCCAGGAAAGGAGATCTTCAGACCTTGAATATCTAAACTCACCGCTGGCACCTTAGCTGATCTTTACTCTTTTTATCCCCAAGTTCTGGCACTCAGGCTAGCAGAAGAATGGAACAAATGCCAGACTAAACTTCAATTCAGAGCTTCTAGACTTACATTTCTGGAGAGAAAGCACTATGAAAACAGAAAGCCCAAAGAGAAACTTCCAAACCAAGATTCTGAAAGAGGAGGTCTCTGCTTTTATCTCTTTCTTCTTGATTAACTGTATGAGAGCAGTTAACAGTCAAAACTGTAAGAAATTGCCTTTTTTTTTTTTTTTTTTTTATATCA